AGACTGGCCATACATAAATACCTTTCCACTGATGTCAGTGTATTCACCCTTTGGATGAATCCCTTTGGTCCTGCTCCTGCACTTAACCAAGGGCTGCTGCAGCCATTTCCATCAGCTGGTGACAGACACCACCTGGCAGAACTCCTTAGTTTCCTCTGTGGTGGGGAGTTTCTCCTCTGTCTGCTGCTGTCGGCCAAGCAAGTGTATTTTGGGACAATCTGGGGCTATGGCAGCTCTGACTGCTCTGTCCTTCTCAACAGAGGAGGGGGAGCGGGCAGAGATGCATCCTCACACACACATATCACAGTCTTTCATTTCTTCCCATGTGTCTTCTCACATACTCTGCACGAGAGCTCTGATTGTAATTATCTATATTTATTTAATCCTGTCGTATTTGCTTGGCTCTATGTGTTTGCTACACTAGCCCACTGCTGTATTCAGCCAGACCAGATACCGCTGCCAAATTGCACTAACTGTAGAGCTGCACCCCAGACAACTGCTTTGGTCTATTTTTAACTGCTGGTAAATATTAGGGAAACTGTCTGAGCCCATAATATTCTCCCTCTAGTCTCTTTTGAATTGTTTATGGCATAATTAGCTGCAAAAAGGGAATGGGGGAGAGCTGCCTGCATGACCTTTTGTTGTTTTCAGTCTACAGTACTAAATATTTTCCCTCCTACTCACATTCATTTGATTCTTTCTTGTCATCCCAGCTGAAAGGATAAGATAACCAGAGCAGGGCCTTCTCAACCCTCTACTGCAGCCTCTTACATCTGCTCCTTCCCAGGTTGGAACAAAGACATTGTCTATCTCCAACAAAGAAAGCTTTTCTCTGAAGTGTTTGCCAGCAGTCTGAGTAAAACAGGCCTTTATAAAATCAAATGGTCCCCAGAGAGCCCAATCCAGAGGATACCAGAGCAGCAGCAGCACTGGAGGGGCAGGCTGGCGCAGGGTGGCTCTGCTAGGATGGGGAGCACACTGCCACAGCCAGGCAGGGCAGGGACACCAGCATCCTGCAGCCACCGACATGGGTAGGCTCCTCCAAGCTCTTCGGAAAAATACTGAGGATATCTGGGCCTTGTTCCAGATTACTAGCTTCAGGAGGGAAACCACAGCCAGCGTGGATAATCCCAATGAGCTCACTCGTGCACTGCTTAGGAAGCTGTGCTGCTGGCTGGAACCCATGGGGAAGTCGGTGGGTGTAAGTACAAGTACAAAGAAGCAGGATAATGTTAACTGCTTTGTTATTCACCTTCGTGCAGCCTCAGGAAGGGAAAGAGAGGAGGGAGAAGTAAGAGTGGGGAGAGGAGAAGTTCTAGGCTGCCAAGGCTGGAGGCTCAGTCTCCATGGGGTTCAGACTCGTGCTCTGCCACAGAGATCCGATGTGAGGATGGAGGTGCTCGTTTCTCATCTAACACTGCCTCAGCTGGCAGCGGCAGAACAAGGCAGACAAGGTGGTTTTGGTAAGAGCTCCGAGGATTTATTTAAAACTTTAGTTGCCATTTTTAGCTCAGGAAGGGGAACATAATCAAATATATTTTCCCTATGGCACAAGTTGGAGTACAGATGTGTAACATGACTTCTTTTAACTGGTCTTGCATCCATGAATTTCAGTGCCTGGTAAAGTTAGGGAGATTATTCTGGGAGGTATGGAAAAACACCTGAAAGACAATGCACTCATTGGTCACAGCCAGCATGACTTCATGAGAGGAAAGTCCTGCTTATCAAACCTGATTTCCTTTTATGACAAGGTTACCCACCTAACTGATCAAGGGAAGCCAGCTGATGTAATCTTTTTGGATTTCAGTAAAGCTTTTGATACTGTCTCTCACAGGATCTTTCTGGACAAAATTTTTGCTTTATCCAGCACACAGCTGGATAAACACATCATGGGCTGGGTGAGCAATTGGCTCACGGGTTGAGCACAGAGGGTAACAGTGAGTGGGGTAGCATGAGACTGGTGACCTGTCTCTAGTGGGGTTCCACAGGGATCCATCTTGGGCCCTGTGCTCTTCAACATCTTCATAAATGACTTGGATGCAGGACTGGAAGGGATACTAAGCCAGTTGGCAGATGACACAAAACTGGGAGGAGCTGTTCAGTCCCTCGAAGCAGGGAGGCCCTGCAGAGAGACCTCGACAAATTAAGAGGACTGGGCCATATAAAGTTCAACATGGGAAAGTGCCAGATTCTGCACCTGGGATGGGACAACCTGGTATGTACGGACAGACTGGGGAATGAGATGCTGGAAAGCAGTGCCATGGAAAGGGACCTGGGAGTCTTGGTTGATGGCAAGCTGAATATGAGTCAGCAGTGCCCCGGCAGCCAGGAGGGACAACCGTGTCCTGGGGGGCATCAGGCAAAGCATCGCCGGGGGTGGAGCGAGGTGATTGTCCTGCTCTGCTCTCCACTGGTGTGGCCTCACCTGGAATATTGTGTGCAGGTTTGGGCACTGCAATAAAAGAAAAGTATAAAGTTATTGGAGAGCATCCAAAGGAAGGCAACAAGGATCGTGAAGGGCCTTGAGGGGAAGCCATATGAGGAGCAGCTGAGGGCACTTGGTCTGTTCAGCCTGGAGAAGAAGAGACTGAGGGAAGACCTAATTGCAGTTACAACTTCCTCGTGAGGGGAAGAGGAGGGGTAGGCACTGATCCCTTCTCTGTGGTGACCAGTGACAGGACCCGAGGGAATGGCCTGAAGTTGTGTCAGGGGAGGTTTAGGTTGGATATTAGAAAAAGGTTCTTCATCCAGAGAGTGGTTGGGTGCTGGAACAGGCTCCCCTGGGAAGTGGTCACAGCACCAAGCCTGGCAGAGTTCAAGAAGCATTTGGACAATACTCTCAGGCACATGGTGTGACTCTTGCGGATGGTCCTGTGCAGGGCCAGGAGGTGGACTGGATGATCCTTGTGGGTCCCTTCTAACTCAGCATATTCTGTGATTCTGTGAGGACCCCTGGGTGACTTGGAACATGTAGGCAGTCTGTGGTACGTGACACAGGAAAACATCCTGATGGGAGTTGGGAGGAGACGTGATCCACTCTTCTTTCCCGCTTCTTCCCTGGTAAGGTTGCTGTGCTGCCTTCAGATGCTCTTACTCAATTAAAAGTCCATGCTGTCAGTGACTAAGGCTGTGTGTGTAAGTGCAGAAGTAAGTTTCTGAGCAGAAACTGCATATGTTACAACAAGCAGCAAAGAGAAACACAAGTCACTTCTCAACTACAGTGGTACTGGAGAACATGCAAAATAGAACAGCATGGTATATTCCTAGTTTTACAATTCCCTAAAGGTTTTCCTTGAAATGGGTCTATGCAATTGGCTTTGGTTTTACAAGGATTTAGTGTAAAAATAGTGATTTTTAGGAGAGGCACAAACCCTGTTTCCTCACTGTGCTTTTTAGTCACCAACAGCATTTTCCCAAAATTTGTTTCAGTCCATGTTACACAACTGATTCCCTTTTCTGACCACAACTCTTTAACGTTAGATCTCAATTTGCAGTTTGAATTATCGGTGTTTTCCTTACCATCACAGAGCAGAGACTGGGGCTCCAGCATGGCAGGTACCAACACAAACACAGTGAGAAAGCTGCTGATAACCTATACACAGCACGAGGTGCTGGCCAGGGAGATTCTTTTAATTTGATGTTTGATGGGCTGGGAAGTGCTAGTGCTGGGAAAGCTAAAGTACATGAAATGTGAAGTAACAGATATCAGGAATGAGCACAGGACAATGAATCTTTAGAAACTATGTGGACAGCAGGGAAGGACGATGATACAGAAGAGCTGTAATGGAAAAGATAAACTCTGGTGGCCAAGTGAAACTGAGAGCAAAAGGAGCGGGAGATTCAAGGTGATCCCTCCCATGTCCTCCACATGCACACTGAGGATGTCACATCTTGAGAAACCGGGGAAGGAACAAGTAGAGATAATTCAGCAGGATGCTTTTTACTGTGCACATTCTGTGTCAGGGAGGCGCTCGGGGGAGAGCTGGGCTGGGAAAGCGCTGGCATGGCCAGCAGCCAACAGAGGCCCACAGGACCAATGTCTGTCCCATCCCAGGGGACCAAAGCCTGCCCCATCCAGAGCTGCCCTGGCTGTGGCCGCAGGCAAGGGGTCGGTGTCACCACTACCAACACTCGGTGCCGCCCAGTACAACCACAAACCCTGCTGGAAACCACAGGGCCAATACACTCCAGCTGCCATTGGAAAATGGACACAAGGGTCTGGGGAAGATGAAAAACCGAAGAACACCCATTGTTTCATAGAATGCATGTTGTGACCTCTTAAAAGACGCTTGCTGGGTTGAATCCAATAATCCACAATAACGACCCTTCCTGGTTTTGGGGTGGGGGCTTAGGGTTATTTTTAAGGCCGGACAGTCAGGCCGGCAGAAGAGCGCCTTCCCCGCCGCACGTGGCTGGCGGGATCTCGACGGGAGAGCTTCAGGCGAGTGTCGGGAAGCTTCAGGAACAGGGACGGTTCCCCAGACCGGGAGAGCTGCAGGCCGGTGTCGGGAAGCTGCGGGAACAAGGACGTTCCCCGCGCACGCGGGCGGGGGTTGGCGGGAGCGCGCGTGCCGCTCCGCACGCACCGCGGGGGGACGGAGAACACACGTCGGCCCCGCCCCCCCGCGCGCGCGGGGCATTCCCGGCCGCCGCCCCGCCCTCGACCTTTCCCCCAGTTTCCAGCGCGCGCTCCCCCGCCCCGGCCCCGCCCCCTCCCCGCCCGCCCGCCGGCCGAGCCCACGCGCCGCCCTCCCCGCGGGCACGCCGCGATCACGCCGCCCGCCGCCGCTCATTGGCCGGGCGCGGGCCACGGCGGGCGCTGATTGGCTGCCACCCCCCCCGGCGCTGCCTGGCGCTGGAGCGCTCGGAGCGCTCCCCTAGCGCGGCCGCGCCGCTCCCGCCGGGCGGGGCTCGAGGGGGCGGGGCCGCCGGGGCCGCTCCCGCTGTTCCCGCCGCCGTGCGCGCGCCGATCCCGCTGTGCCCGCCGATCCCGCTGTGCCCGCCGCTGCTGCTCCCGCTGCCGCTCCCCGGGAGCACCGCCGCCAGCACCACCCACTGCAGCCGCGCCATGCACGGCTCGCCCTGCTCGGACATGGGAGATGCGCCCGCGGTGAGCACCAGGCGGGCGGAGGGAGGAAGGGAAGGAGGAGGGGGCGGCGGGGGCAGGAGGAGGGGGCAGCCGGCGCCGGGCCGGGCCGGGCACGTGCTCGGCGGCGGGCAGGGCGTGGGTACCGCCGGCGGGGACCGCTGCTCACCCCGCGGGGAGCGGGACGGTGGGGCCGCGGGGACGGGGAGGCCATGCCCGGGCAGAGCTCCCGGAGGTGGGGGCTGCCCCAGTCACCTGTGGGGAAAAGGGGGGCGGCCCTCATGCAGCGGCCGTGCGGGGCGGTGGCAGGGTAGGAGCTGCCCTCCGTCTCCTCCTCCTTCCCTTCCCGCCATCCGCCCTTCGGCGGCGCCGCCCGGCCAGGGGCACTCTCCGTGGGGTGGGGAGGGGCGGGGGCGGTGCGGCCCCTCCGGGCGGGAGGAGGTGCAGCCTGGAGGGGGTACCCGCGGGGCCAGCGCGGCACTGCCCGCCCGCTCCATCCTGCCCGCAGCCCGCGCTGCCCGCATCTCCTGCCCTCTCCCCATCCTCCCTGCCCGCTCCCCATCCTCCCTGCCCGCTCCCCATCCTCTCTGCCCTCATCTCAGGCCCTCTTCCCATCCTGGCTGCCTGCACCTGCCCGCACCTCCCTGCCCGCTCCCCGTTCTGCGCAGCCCGCGCACGTAGTTCCCGGCGGGGTGATGTGAGGACAGGCAGCCGGCGCGGTTGGCCATTTCCCTGGCAGCAGCCAGGGAGCGCGGGCTGCAGTGCTCGCCTGCAGAAAGGGCTTTTTTAGTGGGGTTTGTGGGTTTTTTTGGAGGGAGGTATATATTTTTTTCGTGTTTCTCTGGGGAATACTGCTCTCCTGAAACGTAGGGTTGGAAAAAATAAACCCTGCTGGCTTGTTTGCTTACACACTTTGAGGAACATTTGCAGTCTCTGTGTCTGCTCAGTACAGAGCCTCACCTGGTGTGGCCCTACCCGTCTTGCCCTCATTCCCACTCGGTTTTTTTTCAGGGGAAATTCTTAAAAGTCGATCTCTGAGCAGTTAATTGCTTTAGAGTACTTTTACCCCTTCCTGGCCCCCAATCTTGACATCTCCATGCCTGGTAGCTCATGTTTTAGGTGAAAATCCTTTATGAGTGCAGTACTGGCATTTTGGACCCTTTTGTTTAGCATGTTTGCCTGCACATCCCTATAGTGGAGACAGAGTCATCTTTGAGACACTGTTGAGTATCATTCCACAATACTTAACTCAGTAACAAAACTCATTGGCTGAGGTGTGTGAGTTCTGTGACCCAATGAGTAGAGCTCCTTCTAGGGATCAAGGCCATGCTGGCAGTGTCATAGTGCTTTCTAAATTAGAATGCTTTTGCTGCAGTATTTATATGCTCTTTATAATAACAGCAGGCTCAAGAGTTGTGATCCATGCTTCTGAATCCCAGCCTTTGAGTTAGCTGGTGTGTATAAAGACTGGAAGAGTTTGGAGGCCTAGTTGAGAATGAGCTGGCACATGAGCAATGAACTATCAGTGCAGCATAGCTTTTGGAGCCACTGCCAAGCACTGTGAGAGCTTTGTGAATTTTGGACATCCTTCCGCAGAGAAGTGAGGTGTTTTGCATGCGTGCATACATGTGCACAGAAGACTTTTCTGTGATGCTTGCAATTGGAAACAAATCAATATGATTATGTTTGTCTTCATAGTGCCTTTTGGATACTTAGCACCCACGTATTAGCAGATCTTTGCATCTACAATGCAAACAGTTCTTATTGCACTTTGAAGACTATTTTCCTTCCATCCTTTCTCCCATCCTGGCTTCCCTGTCAGTAAGAATAAGACAAAAATGCTTTTGCAAGGTGTGGTACTCCAAGTCAATGATCATACCTTAAAGCATCCTACTGTCAGCTGAAATTTATCTTCTGGATGTTACCAGAATGAGATTAGTGCTGAACAGCAGTTGTCTTTTGGGTCTAGGGAACAGCCTTGTCTAAACAAGGTTGGAAGTCAGGATTTTCCTCTTTTTTGCTTCTATGCAGGCATGGGATGTGTTTATTCAGAGTAGTGTAATCCAGGAAAGTAGCTTTGGAAATGTAAGCCACATACACGTATCTGTTCCTTTCCTGCAAATCACACTTCATTCTTTTTCTGATTTTAATTTTTTTTTTTTAAAGAAGGGGGTGTAGGGGGGAGAGTGAGAGTGGAGCCAGTTGGTAAAAGTCTTGCCACTGGCATGGGATCTGTTTCAGATGACCTTCATCATGAGCAGACAGTGTGTGGGTGGTGTCGGCTTTGTATTCTGACTTGTCCTGATGGCCCGTAATCCGATTACATTCAGGTTGACATTGTGGACATCTATGAGTCTATCCGTGAAAGGCAGCGTCATGACAGTGAAAGGTCTACCTGCAGCACCTTGGAGCAGAACGACATTGAAGCCGTTGAAGCACTTGTTTGTATGAGCTCCTGGGGTCAAAGATCGCAGAAAGGTGACATATTAAAGATAAGGCCACTCACACCCTTCTCGGATTCTGGGGATTTCACAATGCACGCCGAGGCTACGTCTGAGTTACCAAAGGACTACCTATCGACACTGGTAAGGAAAACATGAATACAAAATAAATATGCCCAACACCTGGATGTTCATCTCTGCAGTCCCTTAGCTTCTTGAAAAGATAAACTTGCTCAGGTGTCCCTGTGTCACAGCTACAGCACAGCCTGTGCTCCGTGTGTGTGCACAGAGTAGTGAGGTGAGCGTGTTTAGCTTGGGTTTTTCTACCATCTCTGGTTTGGCAAATGTAAGGAGTTGATCCCTTGTTAAATCTAGATGTGAAAGCCCTTGTTGACTGGTTATTTGACTTGACAGAGATGTCAGGATGGCTGCTGTAGGTTTCTTGGAGCATTTTGACTAAGAATGGCAGAGTGAGCCTCCGTGATTTGGCATCAATGTATCTGCAAATGCTGTATGAAAAAAGACTCTTGATGACATTCGGCTTCACTCTGGTCATTATAAGAGAAAGTACACATTACCATTATGAAATAGACAATTTAATTAGTTTCTGTGCTATGTGTTTGTACATGTAGTCTGTTATTTCTCCAGACATTGGTCTACTCCAGCTGACTAATGTCAGTTGAATCCAAATTTTTTTTCTTTTGTTGTAATTTATGTTGCAACAAAAGTAGGTATTAAAAAAGGGCTTGGTGGCATTCGGATTGTAGATGGATAAGGCCCATTTCAACCAGGAGGCTTCTAGTATGCAGTTACGTCAAGAAAAGAGGGAATAATGGAGGAAAGAGGCTGAGATAGTATGGCAGCTCTCATCATGATGGGCTGCTCTCATCTCCTGCCACTCACTGTTAGCACTGTCTCTTGAGCAGCACAGGACATAGTTTTCAGTGGTAAAGGAGGAAGGAGAGGTGGTGCAGGAAGAGATCATAGAGAGAAATGGGTGAATAAGAAGGGAGAGAGCAGTTCCATTTGTTCATATTTTGGAAGTAGCCACAAGTTGACAAGGTAATAATTGAGAAAAGATCTAGGGCTTTCTGGGAGCTTGAAATGGAAAGGTACAGTACTGCTACCTATTGGTGGTCTGTTTTCTGTGAACAGCAGAGTACTCATAGCCTCTCATAGCTGTGCTCATTGCTGAGGAGAAAGGAATGAATCCTTTTTGTAGTGCAGTAAGCAGACTTGCAATGTTTTATGCAGATTTACATTGCCTCATTGCCTCCCTTTTATTAATATGCTTTTAAGCAAGATCAGAATGACCATGAGATGAGACAATGTATGTGTCCTGGTTTTGGCTGGGATAGAGTTAAACTTTCTTCCTAGTAGGTGGCACAGTGCTGTGTTTGAGAATTAGGATGAGAATAATGTTGATAACACACTGATGTTCTAGTTGTTGCTGAGCAGTGCTTACCCCAACTCAAGGACTTTCCAGTTTCCCGTGTGCTGCCAGTGCACAAGAAGCTGTGAGGGAGCATGGCCAGGACACTACTGACCAAACTGGCCAAGGGGATATTCCATACCATAGAGCATCAAAACTGGGGGTACCAGTACTGCTTGGGGACACGCTGGGTATTGATCAGTGGGTGGTGAGCAGTAGTACTGTGTATCACTTGTTTCTCTTGGGTTTTATTCCTCTTTCTCTTTTTATTATCTTCCATTTTGTTACAATTATTATTATTGTTGTTATATTTTGCTTTATTTTGGTTACGAACTTGCTCTTATCTCAACCCGTGAGTTTTATCTTTTGATTCTCCTCTGTAACAGATCTGACCAGAGTGTGTTGAAACAAATTTGTTATCAGCATTCATTTTATTAATTTAATAGTTGTTGATCACAGTGTTGAATTATTTGCTCTCAAAGTCGTTGTGTTATGTAACACCTTGCTTGCTGTGTATGTTCCCCATTGTGGTGTTTATCATCTCTGAGGGTTGGGCTAAGGTTATCATTTTATTGTACTTTGTAACACTGGATTATGATAGCATAGAATTGCTGGTCTTGAAATGAATCTGGTTTTCATACTCAGCATTGTCGTCACCTCTGTACTTGGGGAACCATCTATTAGAAACTTCTAATAATTACACCTTTTGCCTTTTCTCCTCGGAGAGCCAATCTGTGGAGAAGACATCTTCCCACATCTTCCCCTTCTCCAGGCTAATTAATTGTGTTTAGGAATTTTGAAAATTCTGAATATTCTTGGGATATTGAAACCAGCATGGTCTGTGAATTACCAGGATCTGTGAATGTGGTTCAGGTCTAGTTTAGGGTTAAGCAGCTATTCGTGGCTACTCAGACCCTGGTGACAGGCACTGTGACTACTCAGACCCTGGTGATGGATGATGCAGCTGAACCAGAGGATGAGCCTGTGCTGCTATCAGTTGTCCCTATACACCAATGAAATGGACGTGAAAGTCAGTTCATTTAGTAAAGAGCCATCACAAGAACTGGAGGAAGAGGCAGAACAAGAGGTAACTACTCAATCCCTATCCTTGACGGAGCTGTGGGTTATGTGAAAAGGTTTCAGCCTTCATCCAGCTGTGCACATTATCACCTGCCTGCTCCAATGGGGCTAGTAGCTTTAAATTAGAAGGTACAGAAGCCTTCAGGAAATATATGTCGCCCAGCCAGGTGGGCCACCATGGAGAGAGATATCTACTACCTCAGGGAATTAGCCATACTGGAGGTGATTTATTATGACACAAACAAGGCACAGTCACCCATAGATGCAGATAAAGTCCTGCACACACAACCCATGTGGCAGAGATTTGAATCATTTGTCCCAGACTGCACTGGGACAGGGTGAAGCTCTGGAACACCTGCAGTACAGTGATGATATTGTGTGTGGCAATGCAGCAGCAGAAGTGTTTGAGAAAGGGAAGAAAATAGTCCAGATCCTTCTGAAAACTGTTTTTGCCAAAAGCAAAGTACCAAAGGTACCTGCACAGGGGATCTAGTTTTTAAGAATAAAATAGCAAGATGGATGTCATCAAATCCCAATGGATTTGATCAGCAAAATAACAGCTATGTTTCCACCAGTGAGTAAGAAAGAAACACAAGCTTTCTTAGGTGTTGTGGATTTTTGGAAAATGCACATTCCAAATTACAGTCTGATTGTCAGCCCTCTCTGTCAAGTGACCTGGAAGAAGAATGATTTCAGATGGGGCCCTGAACAACAACAAGCCTTTGAACAAATTAAACGGGAGGTAATTCATGCAGAAAATTAACTCTGTCCCAGCCCTTGGGCCAGTCCAGGCAAGACAAGGTATTAAAAACGTGCTCTGCACCACAGCAGGGAAGAATAGCCCTACCTGAAACCTCTAGCAGAAAGCACATGGGGAGACTTGGGTCAACCTCTAGGATTTTGGACTTGGGGATACAGAGGATCTGAAGCTCACTGTACTACAACTTAAAAAGTTATACTGGCATCTCATAAGGGGATTCGAGCCACTTTGGAAGGGATTGGTACTGAAGCACAGCTCCTCCTGGCAGCCCATCTGCCAGTGCTGGGCTGGATAATCAAAGGGTTGGTCTCTTACACATCATGCAGCTGATGCTATTTGGAGTAAGTGGGTCTTGCTGATCACACAGCGAACTCAAAGAGGAAGCCGTAGTCATCCAGGAATGTTGGAAGTGACCATGGACTGGTCAGAGGGCAGAGATTCCAGGATGTCACCTAAGGAGGAGGTGATATGTGCTGAAAAGGCCCTACTGGATAATAAATCAGAAAAAAAATGAGAAACAGTGTGCCTTGTTTGGTGATGGCTCCTGCTGTATTGTAGGAAAACATTGCAGATGGAAAGCAGCTGTATGGAGCTGCTCAAGGAGAAGGTAAATTGAGTCAGTCTGCAGAGGTGAAAACTGGCTTTAGACATTCCTGAACGAGAAAAATGGCCAATACTTTATCTCTGTACTGACTCATGGATGGTAGCAATGAGTGGTGGCGGTTGCAGTGATGGAAGCAGAGCAATTGACAGTGCAGAGATAAACCCAATCTGGGCTGTCACATTTTGACAAGATATTGCTGCCCAGGTGGAGAACCTGTTTGTGAAGGTACATCATGTAGATGCTCATGTACCCAAGAGTTGGGCCACTGAAAAACATCAAAACAGCCAACAAGTGGATCAGGCTGCTAAGATTGAAGTACTCAGGTGGATCTGGATTGGCAACACAAGAGTAAATTATTTATTGCGTGGTGAGCCCATGGCACCTCAGGCCAGCAAGGAAGAGAAGCAACATTTAGATGGGCTCATGACTGAGGGCTAAACTTGACCATCGTCACTATTGCGTGGATTATCCATGAAGTGTGGAACATGCACTGCAGTTATGCAAGCCAAGTGGGTAAAGCCTCCTTGGTGTGGAGGCTGAAATAAAAATATGGGTAGACCTGGCAGTTTGACTGTATCACACTCCCCGGAACCCACCAAGGCAAGTGCCATGTGCTTACAATGGTGGAAGCAACCACTGGATGGCAGGAAACATATCCCATGCCCCATGCCACCACCCAAAACACTGTCCTGGGGTTTAGAATGCAAGCCTTACGGCGACTCGGCACCCCAGAAGGAATCAAGCTGGACAACAGGAATCATTTCCAAAACAATTTCATAGACAGCTGGGCCGAAGAGCACAGCATTGAGTGAGTATATGACATCCCTATCTGAAAATCAATACAATGGACTGTTAAAGCCAACACTGAGAGCAATGGGTGGAACCTTCAAACAATTGAATACACATTTAGCAAAGGCCACTTGCTCAGTCAACGCTAGAGGATCTGCCAATTGGGCCAGCTGTGCCCAATCAAAACTTTAACATAGTGTAAAAGGGGATAAAGTCCCTGTAGCGCACATAAAAAAATTTTAGGGAAACAATCTGAGTTATTCCTACCTCAGGCAAAGGCAAACCCATCCATGGGCTTGCTTTTGCTCAAGGACCTGTGTACACTTGGTGGGTAATGCGGGAGGATGGGGAAGTCCAGTGTGTGCTTCAAGGGGATCTGAGAATAGCCAGTGATTTGGATTGTATGATGTTAATTGCCATATAGCACTGTATGTCATCACTGCTATGGTGGCTACACACAACATCAAGGGTATTAGGGTAAGAATCATCCAGAATAATGAAGAATGAGCTTTGATGAAACTGGACAAGTGGAATGCAGGTGGAATCAGAACTGACTTCAGCAGGCAGCAATTCAACACCATGTACTATCTCTCCTGCCCTGAAGGACTACTGCGAGATGGAGCCCAAAGTTGTGGATAAATGAATTCAACAGATGTTTTAGAGCAATGGCCTGCCCATAGACAGGGAATGATATCTGTGTGTATGTATCAAAAGGCAGGAAAAGTGATGGTGGTTAATTGGGATGTATTGAGAAGTGTAGGCATGACATAAATGGCATAGAATATGGGGTGGATATTGTCCTGTTTTCAGCTGGGATAGAGTTAATTATCTTCCTAGTAGGTGGTACAGTGCTGTGTTTGGGATTTAGGATGAGAATAATGTTGATAACACACTGATGTTTTAGTTGTTGCTGAGCAGTGCTTACCCTAAGTCAAGGACTTCTCAGTGTCTCATGCTCTGTCAGTGAGGAGGTGCACAAGAAGCTGTGAGGGAGCACGGCCAGGGCACTACTGACCAAACTGGCCAAAGGGATCCTCCATGCCATAGAGCATCATGTTCAGTGTATGAACTGGGGGGGAGTTGGCCAGGAGGGACCGATCACCACTCAGGGCCAGACCTTGCAGGTGGTGAGCAATTGTACTGTGCATCACTTGTTTCTCCTTTTTCATTACAATTATTTTTATTTCTATATTTCCTTTTATTTGAATTATTAACTTGTTCTTAACTCATAGGTTTTACCTTTTCCCAGTTCTCCTCCTCATCCCACAGGGCATGGGGATGAGTGAGCGAGCAGCTGCATGGTACTTGGTTGCAGTCTGAGCAGTACACTTTAATCAGTTTGTCTTAAGAGGCAAGTTCTGAGATTCTGGGGAAGGGGCATAATTTTATTTTTCACAGTAAAGATAGTGCAAAGCTGTGCTATGGAATTACACTGATGTACAATGGTGTTTTGTTTTTTGCAGTGCATGACCCCTCCACACAGCCCTGACTTTGTTGAGATGTCAGCAGCTACACTCCTCTCCTCACAAGTCACTTACTCCAAACCAAGGACTGTCATGGCAAATACAACTGCCTGTTCAGTCACATCAGTGACTGGTGCCTCTCCCATAACTAAGCCATCTGTTCTCAACGTGGAGCGACAGTGCAGTCAGAAGCCAGAGATCTCTGAATCTTCTGCCCCTCAGCCTTGCAGGGCCATGGCAACAAGTGTGATACGTCACACAGGTGATAGTTCTGCTTACCATCACATTCCTGCTGTGCAAGAGAAAACAAAGGTAACTTCAGGCTACGGCACTTCCAGAGACTGGTGTGGAGTGGATGAACGAAGACATTCCAGTCTGCCACAGGACACGTGTGCTGCAGATGATTTAATCAACAAAACCTCTCCAGTACGTCAGCCTTATGCACATGACTCCAGTGATATTGTGACTGGTAAAGGGCAACTACCAGTCCAGCCTGTTTCACCACAGACCCACTTACCAAAGAACTGTGAGAATGACTTGCAAAAGAGAGCTACCCCAGTGACACCTGCCCCTGTTTCAAGCCCCCAAGTTCTCTGTCAAATGATCCCTCTAAATGGACAAAGCAGTATGATCAATGCCTATGTCAAGCCTTCAACTCCAGCACTCTCAACTCCCATGAAACCTATTTTACCACAGACAGCACCGCTCTCCCAGCCTGTGCTCATGGGACCTTCTGTGCCTCAGGGGACTGTCATGTTGGTTCTTCCCCAGCCTACTGTCACACAGACAGCACAGTGCCCACAGACCGTAATGACTGTTGGGAACACCAAGTTACTGCCCCTTGCCCCTGCTCCTGTGTTCATTGCTTCTGGTCAAACCTGCGCCCCCCAGATGGACTTTTCTAGACGGAGGAATTATGTTTGCGACTTCCCCGGCTGCAAGAAAACCTATTTCAAAAGTTCCCACCTCAAAGCCCACCTTCGCACCCACACTGGTGTGTACTAGGGAGCTCTGGCACTGGTTTGTGTTGGGGTGCCGAATGCATGGTTTTTGTGGGGACCAGGGTGGGAAAGGGAAGAGGCAGGTGATTGGGAAGCTTGTGTTCATCTTGGGGAAGGAAGGAATGTTCGTTCTCTGTGGGCAAGCAAAACAAGACAGACTTTGTTCTGAGACCTCAGCTGACCCCGTAGTGTTAGTTGAATTTTGCAGGCTTTAGCTGGAGTGAAGCTTTGCTGTCTGTGTGCGTATGTTTAGATCTGAGTGGAATCCTGCCATCTGGACTAGATTGAAATTAATTGTGCAAGTCCCTTGTTTTGGAGGCTGGAGAGGTCTGGTGAGAGCAAAGCATAGCACAGGTAGTTGGTCTTAATTACTACATGAGTAAAAGGAAAGAGAAACTTAGAAAGTGCTTTTTTTACCCAGGGTTTTGTTTAGGCTAAATGGGAGATATTTTGGGCTGCTGTGTTAGACAGTAGAGACGCTATAGGAATATAATGCTTTATTAAGTTACAGAATGGGAATTTTAAAGGTAAATGAAAATTAATGTAATTAACGTGAGCTGATTTGCTCCATAAAATCTGGTCAGTGTAGAGACAGTATACATGTGCTTTACTTACTCTTTTTCTGGCTCCAGGATCCTGTTAAATTAAAACTAACATTGAGTTCTCAGGGATTATTTTTGATGTTGAAGGATGGGCATAGTGGGAGATTGGTACAGAACAGCTCTATCTATTTTTGGTTTATCTTGACTTTTTTCCTCACCTACCCTTATCCCACAGACACTGGTTTATTGGATGTTACCTTCCGTGACAGGATTTCCATTAGTTTGCCAGCTTGTCTTTACAGTTCCTTTGGGGAAAGAGCTTAACCTCTACATGAAGCTGATAATCCTTTTAAACCATAGCTCAGAGGTAGAATGATGCTTCTGCTTCTGGCTTTGAGAGGCTGCTGAATTAACCTGGCACTACAGGATAAATGTAGACTAGCAGCAAGTGTCTCGCTCTGAGCTTGTGCCACTGCTGATCCATAGGGAAGTATTGTGTGTCCCTGTATCGTGATTAGGACTAGGACATCAATGGGAGGTGAAACACATGGACTCCTCACTAGCCATTTCACATTACAAGAAGAGGAGGAAGAGTAGTTCAGCTTTCTTTTCCCACCTTTTCCCTGCACACTGACTAGCTAGATGATACCACATACATCAAACACAGAACTTTACTCTCAATGTCTGTCATAAGAAGAACACTCTTGTGGGGCTTTCTGCAGGCCGCTTCTGGTCTGCTCCAAAATGTCCCCATAAATTTGGGCCCCATGGTGGATGCTTATCTGGAGCTCTCTGAGAGTTGCAGGCGGTAGATCACGTTGTTCAGGATAGGTCTCATGTTAAGCAGTGGCCCAGGATGAGCAGCAGCTGACGTGGGCAGCCTTGCTTGACTGCTGCTATTTCTGGGTATGCAAAAGGAACTCCCCTGGCCATCTGCGGGATCTCCAGCTGCGTGGGGATGGCAGCACAAGGCCACGGGACCTCCAGCTGTGTGGAGGTGGCACGACAGGCCATGCCTCAGGAGTGCTCGCTGTGGGGGGTTGATGTTTGTGTGTAGGACTGGGTCACTGGAGCTGCAGGACCCTGAGGCTCCATTCCAGGCTTCCTGTTAGCCCCTAGTACTTGGTGATGATATGGTGCAGCTGTAGAACTGTGGACGCATAGGGATGGAAGCAGAGGGTTGCTTCTAGTTCCGACAGTGGATAAGGTAGTACAGATGAGCAGTTCTTTGGAACTCATTGTTTGCAAGGCAGGTTTTAAGTTAGTTCTTTAATAAAACCGCAACACAGCTTCTCAAAAGTAACTCATGCTTCCTTTTTGTCTTGCAGGAGAAAAACCTTTCAGCTGCAATTGGGAAGGCTGTGACAAGAAGTTTGCCCGCTCAGATGAACTGTCACGCCACCGCAGAACTCACACGGGAGAGAAGAAGTTTGCGTGTCCTGTGTGCGAGCGTCGCTTCATGCGCAGCGATCACCTGACAAAGCACACCCGCTGCCACATGACCACGAAGAAGACCCCCAGCTGGCAGACAGAGGTTGGCAAACTCAGCAGAATTGCCACAGCAGAGAAACCGAAAAGCAGCAGTGCTCTGAGTATGCTCATTCCCATGCCATCACCCGTCTGTCAGGGCTAGAGTGAGGAAACACCTTCCCTGCAAACTCTGAAGATCAGGAAGAGCTCCGATGGCTACAACAGAACTGGCAATGGCTTTTGTTTTCCCTGTGTTTGTGCATACTTTAGGTTCCTGCAGTTTAGGTCCTCAGTTGATAATGCTGTATGAGAAATCTGTCCTATATTTCCTCGTCCCTTCCCTGTTTGTTTTTTTTCAACACTTGGGCAATTGCAATCACCAGCACTTCAGGAAAGCAGAACTCTTTAGAAATTATTTTGGCTATAGTGTAATGCTTGCTGTTAATATTTTGATGGACAGTAAAACAGGGTGGTTTTTAATTTTTATACTACTATTTTCTATACCAAATATATTTTATATTTGTTCTTTTTGGTCTTGTTATGCAGGCAAATTACTTGGCCTGCATTAGTAGGGGTGTGCTGGATGAGACCCAGAGTTTTGGAAACTCCTTTTCAGTAAACCTAAACAATTGCATTCAGAGCATTTTATAAACCTGTAAAATTTGATAACTCATATTGGTTGGTGTTTGCACACTTGCAAATCCTGATCCTGCAGTGGGCTAGTGCTTTTACACCCTCCTTATGCAGGTGACATTGGAGATCAAAGTGAGTCAGTCATTTTTTAACACAAACCAAACCAGAATGACTTTCCTTTGGAACACAAGTGTTGAAATCCTCAACATTTTCTGAATTCATACCCTTTGCAAGTGGAAGCCGTTGTGGCTTTTGGTAGAAGTTTGACACACTGGGCATTCTTGGGTCCACAGTTCATTGGAGCAAAGTTTGGAGGAGCCAGACTACTCTGATGGAGGTAGAAGCACAAACACCATTTAGAGACTTTGACACTAAAAATTATGCTTTATTTTTGGTCCTACTAAACTAGCATATCAAAATCAAGTGAAAAATGCAACAATGGCAAGATAGCCCATGAAGAATTATCTGGGTCTCTATTTTGTTTTGGTTTTTTTTTTTTTAGAGAACAGGAGAAATAGAAAATTAAGGGATTTTATGTATTGTGGATGCTTGTGCACCTTATAGGAAATTGTTCAAGGCTTTCATTTACCTGTATCAATGCACCAGAGGAAGTACTAATTGTGTCTTGAGTTAAGAAATAGCCACCCTGTCAACCTGATGATGCTCTTCATGTGGCCTTATACTTCTCCACAGTACTTTGTATAAAATCACCCTTTTCTATTAAACGATACACTCTTCCTGTTGAATGGATTTTCTTTTACACGAAGTGTAATCATGGTTAAGAAGTGGAACCACTGGATGCAGGAGTGCTGTGTTGTAATGGCATGGTATGAATAATAAAATGCCTGTAGCACAGTCGGACTGCTCAGTTTCTGTGGTGCGGAAGGATGTGTAAACGTACTGTAGCAGAGCTGACAGCAGAGCAAAGCACCAGGTGTTTTGCTGGGAGACAGCTCACCTGCTGAATGAAATGTTTCTGTAGAGTTTATTCCTTATGGACTCTTCTCCCTTCAGCCACTCCTATGCTGAAGCTTAGTTGAGCACTGAGGAGGATTGTTTTTTCCTGGATGCATCAAATGTGGATAACTAGGAATGCTGTCTCTTGCATGGCTTTGTTCTGAAATCCTGGTCTTGCTTCCTGTTATAGGCAAAGCATGGATCTCATCTATGTAAGTGCAGACTTGCTGATTTCAGCTTGCACTCCCCTGAAATCAGCAGAGACCTGTTTCAGTTTAAAGCAGATTATGTCATTTTTTACACTAAAGTTTATAGTTATAATGAACAGTACTAAGTTTTCAAACTGCACTAAATTGGAGTATTGTGCTAAGTGTACTGAAGTTTTTGTGCCTGACCTTTATAATGCCCACACCCTGTTCACTGACACGTGCTGTAATCCCACTGCCCCCAGCATGTCTGCCGGTGAGTGTGTGTGGACTTTCCAAAGAACTCAGTTGGAACCCCTTTTCCTGGCAAATTTGTGTGGTGAACAAAGAGATGTCGCTGCTTTACTTTTTTGTTTGTTTTTTTTTCTTGGAAATCCCGAAGTTTGGCTTTTGGATGCTGTTTTCATTTGCTTTTAACCGGGGAAGCATGTCCTGTCTCAGTTCAGTAGCCAGTTTAGTACTTCTTTTTTTTTTTTTACAGACCAACCATCTGTGGTGTAAACCTGAGCAAAACAGTTTGAAAACTCATGTCATAATTATAAGTAAATTGTCATGTTAGTTGCATCATGGGAGGAAAATGATGGACTGGAGAACACAGAATTTTGAAAAGTGTGTCATGTATGTGTGTCATGATGTGGAAAAGCAATGGCTCTCTCCTTGTTGGGTTTACATGGCCTGCAAGGGCTGCCTCCCACCACCTGTGTCCGGGACATGCGGATCGTTCTCTTGTGAATGTGCATGAATAGCTGTGCCGTGGTGTGGCTGTGTCTGCTCTGTGTGCTCTGTTCCTTCCTGCTGTGTAAGGGTTATTTATGGAGTACGCATGACTGGGATAGCTGATCTCTTTGCACTTTACTGCCTGAACTCTATTGTTCAGTCTTTTTATTTTGAACCTATATTTTAAGGAAATGGAATCGCATTTTTGTACCTGTTTTTAACTTTTATTAAATAAAATGCGCGTAATGTGACTGGTTTTAAATCATAAAAAAATTATGAGTTTTCAGGTTTCATAGATGTCCATTCCAGAACTATGAAAATCCATCTGGATTAGGTTTTATGTCTAGGCAAGTGGAAGACTCTGGGAACAACAGTCTGTACTTCTGTTCTAGCATGGCCTCCAGCAGCTGTCAGCAGAAGGGATGGGCTAGGTGCTGCTCTGTTGGTGTTGCAAGCTGTGCATGAAGTGAATGCTGGAAGTAAAAGATGAGAATGTAACTCAAAAGTTACATTAGCCCCAGTTCTTCCTGTTCCCTCATACCTGCACTATGGTAAGGAAGGGGCTCTGGCAGGCTGGGTGTCACCTCGAGGTCTCATTTGGGAAGGAGATGTCCAGCGATGGTGACAGCAGCAGCAACTATCTACATTTTTATGCTTCTCTGCTGTTTCTTTTCCTCTGACCAGTTCCTGAACTGCAGAGATGTTTATTTCCAGCAGGAAAGGAGAGGGTGTAATGATTTCAGCTTTCTCTCACGGCCCTTCACTGCAAAGTGGCTCAGTCCCTGTAGTCAGAGCCCTCGGAGAACAACTTCCAAGCGGTGACTCAAGGCTTTGTCTGCAAAAGTACACATCATTCTTGCAAGTGTGAGGAAGGTGAAAAGAAAATCTTACGGATGGTTCTGATTCCCCCCCAAGAGAACAACTGGAAGGGAAGTCTTTGCTGCAGGATCAATGCTCTGGCAGAATGGCCCACATTCTTCAGCCTGTGGACTCTACAGGTCTAGTGTAGAGCTTTGTTTCCCAGAGGAAGTTGTCCTACCTGTCCCTACTATTATTTTTCAAGGAAGATTTTTCTGAGCATCAAATCATATCCTAAACAATATTTTTTTTTTTGTTGCCAATTTTTATATTGTCTCCCTGGCTTTGTTTATATGAAACATGGTGATGGATTTCACAGTTCTTTGCTCATCTTTCTGCTTTTCCTTAGCACCAAGCTGTGGTCTGAGCTGTTCCAAGCAGCCAAGATGTGCACTCCATACACATCTTAATGGTGCTGGAGTCTCAAACAGCTTCATCTTGTGAGAGAAACGGTCTGCACACAAAGAAGCCTTCCCAGCTACCCCTGTGCTGACACAGGCATTGTTGAGGATTTCTGTCCTGTAGCCATTCTAAATCCATGAAAAGGAATCATTTTCTGAAGGAAAATGCATTTGTGCCCAAACCTATCTGTTGGCTTAATGCTATGTTTTGCAGTCAGACTGGCATTGCTTGTGGTCACACACACCACACTGTGTCGTTGTACAGCCAAACCTTCAGCTCAGCAGTAGGTTCCCTGGTCTTCCAAATTGATGAGCACTGATCCACTTGCAGTTTGGATACTGGAAGAGTGAATCCCTTCTGATGCTGCAGAGCAGAGTGGGCAGAGGTGCTCCATGCTGTCAGGTGGTTGCACACTTGGTGTGCTCCTCTGGCTGCGGCCACAGCTCTGGCTACCTCTGCCTTTCCAGCTGAGAAAGCTGTACTCGGCATCCTGTGGCTGATGAAGGTGGCCTCTCATCTGTCATCTCATGAGCTGAGACCTGCCTCAGGGTTGCATCTGGCTTGAGTACATCTGCTAAGTTAAATCTTCTGGTTTTGAAGTTTCATCTGTGAGCCCATCTGCCTGTTTGCCTTCCGTTTGTGTCTGGCAAGGCAGCTCAAGGCAGGCAGGCTTTGGCTGTGAGAAGGTAAACTACTTCCATGCATGCAGGAAGAGTAAGTCATGACTCAAAGCACAGCAACCTGCAGGCTGAGGAAATGGCAGGACAGTCCAGGGGGAAGCTGCAAAGCCTCAGACACGTCTCTTCACTGTCCAGGCAGTCCTGGGGTACACTTCCCTGCAGTGAGTATGTTAGCACTGAGCCATTTTCTTTCCAGATTGTTTCCATCCTCTGTCAAATGCAGCCTTCCGCATTTTCTGCTTCAGTCCTTCTGTGTAGGAGAAAATTCATGACTTTTATGTTCTGATGCATGCGGGCACACATTGGCACATCTTAGACGTGCAGAAAACTTGAGGAGTTTGGAGCATACCCTTTCCTGAGAGAGTTTTTCCTAGATAGGAAAAATACCTTAGGTTTAATTGTCTCCTTTGTAGTGTCTCTTGAGTTCAGAGTGACTTCCTTTCTGTTTGTTATTATTGTCCAGATAAACTCACTTTCACCCTGTGCAAATAATTGCCATGTCCTGTGTCCAGAGTGGGGTGAGAGGGAACTCTGCTGTGGATGTGGTCTGTGCCAGGCAGCTGGTGTTCCACCTTCCTGCCAAGTGTGGTGGGGAACTGCACGACGCTCCTGTGCCACAGCTCCAGGCCTGCACCTTGCTGGGGCAGAGGCTCTGTTTCAACTCCGAGGGTTGTGTGTGTGAATAATTTGGCTGAAAGTGTGTTGGAATTTGACCCTTGGAGGAAAGGGGTTGGGGAAGAGCATTCCTTGGGATGGTGAGGGTGCCACCCTCCTTTTTCCTCTATTCTGAAGGTGAGTAGATGACAGCAGGGTGCTGGACAAGGGAACTATTAGTTGCTCTGCTCTTGGAGGTCCTGGCAATGGGATGGTGGCAGATACACTCCCCACTCATGTCTACTTACAGCTCCCAAATGAATTCTTGAAGCTTGTAAGAGATTTCTGGGTGACTACAGAACAGGTAAAAGATAACTTGCTTCCTAAAACTGCTCCATCACTGATCTGTTCTCTTAGGTGCTCTCTGGGAAACAGTTCTGCCCATTTAGTGGGCTACTGGAAAGGCAGAGCTCTGCAAAGAAAGGCAATATGCGTTGCAGCGCTGTCACAAAGAAAAGGCATCTAGGAAGAAAGGGAGGAAAGGATTCAAAGTGTTTGTTTGCACATGAAGAACAGATTTGAGGGAAATCGAGAGTCTGAGTAAGTGTGTAAACTGGTTCTGTAGTTTCAGGTTTGTTGGTTTTGTTTTTTAAGATCTTGGGTTGAGTAATTTAGAAAATATGGTTCTATGCTTTCACCACCAGAACCTTTCAGCTGGCATCTTGTTGCATGGCCAGGTAAGAAAACTGAACTTGTGGAAGTGAAGAAGCTCAGAAGTGGCAATATCTTCTCATGCACTAAAGAGTAATTTTTCATGATTAGCTGAAAAAATTACCCTCTTCAGTCCCCTCAGCAACTGTGGTAATAGGAGGTATGTAGAGACAGCCAACTGGCCAGCAAAGGCTTTCTTACTCCTTTTGGACTAGTGCAAAATGCAGCATTGTAGCATTTGTCTTTGTTAGATGAATAATGTAGTGATTTGTTTAAAAGACTGGCCTTTTGCTGTTTTATTAATAGGGATTAATAATGTTAGCTGAAAAGCCATGGTCAGCTACCCTGTCCTATGCTGCATGTATTAAACAGGAGGGTAGTTTCTAAAATGATGAACGAGAAACTCTCCAGAACCCTGCTTAATTCCAGCAAACTGTTTTAGGAGCAGGAAGTACTGGCAAGCTGAATAATTTTTTGTCCTTCAAGCAGTTGTGACTTGATGATGGTTATAGAGAAATACTACGAAAAGAAAATGAACTTTCCGATAATTCAGCTGGTGGGATGTCAGCATTCACTTCCTGAGATGTGATCTCCACAGTGCAATTGTCCTTATTTTTAAAAAGCCATTAATTCAAGAAGTTTCTCTTGAAATTAGTCATGGGCTGAACTACTGCTTTAATGTGATTATTTACCTGCAAATTATCTAGTGTCCTATTTTCCTTGAGCAAAGGATGGATCGAAATAGAGTTATACTGACACTAGGCAATTAAACTGCAATTGTGCCTTCCTAGGTACCAGTCCCATTGCCACCACCTTGTTTTGGTGTGCTGCTGGGTAAAGGTTTGACACAGAGAGAGGAACACAGTCCCATTGATTCTTGGGCAGGCTGGGAAGCTGGCTGGGTACCATCGTCCTGTTCTGCATGGCATGAAAATAAGACAGATATGTTTCAGTTTGTGAGCTGCTCTGTCCTGGTCGTCTCTGTGGTCACAGTGCTGAACACACATCGTTTCATGGCAGAGAGAAAGCCTGCAATGCCATGGCACAGTTTGAGGGCCCTCCTTGCATCCCCGAACTTCTTTCTCCCCTCTTTTCCCTGGTGCAGTGACTGTCCCAGCTGCATCACTCCTTTCTGGACCTTCCTGTGTTCCTGTTTACCTGTGAAACCCACTACACCTTTGTTCCAGGTGCAGAAACATGCTTCTCTCTTGGCTATTTCAGAAGCTAATTTTGTAAAGTTTACTCATTCGCTTTGTTCAGTCAAGAGAGATTTCTCGCAACCTAACAATACATTCAGTTAGGATGTTACTTTTTTGATTAGTCAGTTTCTGTAACTGTTAATACTTAGGCTTTCCTTTAGGAGAGCCTGAAATGGGTTGTAGA